TTCTTCTGGCACACTGCCAGTCTCGGACCCCCGGGCTGAACCCTGGATGAATGTCTGCCCCCTTTCTCCTTCAGACCAAAAGCCACCATCACCTGCTGCCTCTCTCTCTTTCCCTCTCTCCCTCTCTCTTTTTCGCTCTCCCTGTGTGAGCGCAGCCCTTCCCTCTCTCCTTTCTTCTCTGTCCATTCTTTCTTTTCTCCTTCTTCTCTCTGTGGCAGGAGGCCAGGGGAGCCACTCTGCAGAACAATCGCCTCCTTTCTCCTACTCTCTCTCACTTTCTCCTTTACCCTTTCCCTCTCCTCTCTCCTCTCTCTCTCTCTCTCTCTCTCTCGCTCTCTCTCTCTTTCTCTCTCCCTCTCTTTTCATGGGCCTCACTTTCACATGTCCCTATTGTGGAGCAAAAGAGGCTTATGACACAGTAATTACCCTCTCTCTCCCCTCTTTCACTCTCTCTTTCTCTCTCTCCGGTTTGTGTATTGTTTACTCTGTGACTGAGGTCGTAAGGGTAATTATTGTTTGTTTATTTTTGGAATTTGAGGTGTTGAAAGGCATTACTTCTGTGTTTTTCTCTCCCTCTACCTCTCCTTCCTTCTCTTGTTTGTTCTTTGTGACTGTGTTGGTGTGGAGCCATTTAGTCCAGTTTGAAATGAACTGATCACTCACTGTGCTTTGTGTGTGTGGAGCTCCAGCCTTGGCTGTAATGAAGATGTATTGTAAAACAGAGACAGTGAGCTTAAAGAGGTGTGAAGGACAGAGGCCTGCACTCGTTTTTTATTTTCTCCATTTCTCACAGGTTGGGGAGGGTTATGCCCTACCTAACCACATCTCCAACTGTATGTGTGTAGCATACAATTTGCTGTATGCTATCAGTACAATACATGCATTAAATGTGACAAATTATTAAAGGCCACCAATTTTTAAATTGCTGTTAATGCTGGATGAAGCCTAGTTGCTTGTATGCTGTATATTCTGTACAGGATAGAACTGACCATTGTAGACCTCTCATTTAAATACAATTTGTAAATGGCTATTAAAGCAGCACATTCAGCGTCATTCAGCAAATTATGCTGGATAGTGCTCTCAGGAGAACTATAACTATGGATAAATCAATGAGCAGCAAACTAACAAAAGCAATAGCAAAGTGGAAAGCTCCAGTTCCCCACAAGACCCTCCACTTTAACAAGAATTAGTCATATCAATGCGATCGTGTGTTGAAACCATGTACTTTGGAATTGTCGGAGACCACCCTTCATGTGTTTCATTTCTAGTCATATCAGCAATTAAGTACAAATGACACGTTTTTCAGGAGATATTTCTGTGGAGATATGATATAAGATAATCCACCTGCATCAGGAAGGGAAAAAGAGTTACAGCAGTGAAAACAGGACTAATGCAAGACCTGATAGACCACCAGAACAATAGACTGACCACCCCAGAGTCCAGACCTCAACATCACTGAATGTGTTTGGGATTACTTGGATTGTACATTGCAGAAAATGTAACTAGCTTCCAAGACTGAACCTCTGGAGGCAGCAGATTTCTTTGAAAAACTGAAAGCAAGAATAGTAGCTGTAATAAAGGCAAAGGGTGGACACTCTAAATACCCAGATATTATATTTGGCTGTCAAGGCTCCTGTGGAATCTTGTGTTATATGTCTTCTGCTTTTATTACACTGAAAAATAAATAACATTTAAATAACCCCTTAAATGGTCAGCGCCCACCAGCAGGCCCAAAGATTTACTACACACTTTTATAACCTAAGAGTAGCTCAGTTAGTTTGCATTATAGTTTGTGTAGTTACTGAATAATAAGCCTTAGTATGTAATAAGCCTGGGATTTTAAGGGGTTCATTGCTGCTTTGACAGGAAATTAACTAACTGAAAGGTGGTCTCTTTTGACTTTTGCTTAGTCTCATATGTATCAGTGCAGTACAGTATCAGAAATAGCATGACGGTGATTGTAAATTGCTAAACTCAAAGAGAGATGCTTAGATAGAAAAGTGGAAAAAAGGTCACGACTTACTGCATCACTATTCATATTCCGTTAAGTCAGTAGGTCTCCTCTCATCTCCTCAGTACTGCAGATTAAACCTGTTTCATATTCAACACTGCAGCAAGAGTGTGTGTGTGTGTGTGTGTGTGTGTGTGTGTGTCTGTCAGTGTTCTTGGCCTTGGTGGTTGGCGTAATGGATGAAAAGATTGCAATTTATTCCTCCTCTCCACTCTTGCGAGCATGAGTGCACACACACACACACAGACAGACACATATATACACACACACAAACGTACGCACACACACTCAGACACTCTTCCTCTCTCAGATAAGCTTAGACCTTCCGGCCTTGTTAAAGTGACAGATGTTTGAAGGGAACTGTTTAATGACTAAGAGAAGTAGAGAGAGAGTGAAAATAAAAATAGAGAAATGAAGAGGGATAAATGGATGTTCACTCTATTCCTGATGAGTCCACAGGGACGTGTGATGGTGAGAGAGAAAGGGAGGGATGGAGAGAGAGCTCGAGCAGCAGAATGTAAAACGAAAGTGCAGACTTCATCTGTCGAACTGTTTAACCCACTGACATAACACACACCTCACAGCGCTGTGGTAGAGTTACACACACCGGCACGCTGGATTTTTCCACAATGCTCTTTGTGGGTCACTGTGAGGCCTGCTCATCATCATATTTCTCTCAGTCTCTTCTTAACCTTAAACCTGAAATGCAGAGCTCATCCACTTTAAATAATATGCTCATTGTCTTCAGTCTTTTTAGTTCAGTTTAAATAAAAAAAAACATTTGCACTTGTAATAAATTGCTGATTGATCGTCATCCTACACCTCATTTTCCAGAGTTTAGACTTCACAATACAAATAACTAACCACAAAAAAAATCATGCTTTTGTCATGTTTTTATTAAAAATCCCATAAAATATCGCTCATATTTGTTTCTATTCCAAGGTCAATATCTTTAATTTTATCCCACATTTTCAAGAAGGAAAACAATCTAAAAGAAAAAGATGCAAAAAATGGCATCTTGTCATCTTAAATATAGCCAATAAATCTAATATTTATCCTGCTTATCAGGCGGTCAAAACAGATCAGACGCTTGCAGATTAAAAGACAAGATCGCGAGTTCGATCCCTGGTGATGCTACAGCCATCCGTAGCCGGGAGTCCAAGAGAGCACAATTGGCCTCGCTCTCTCTGGGTGGACAGGATGGCCCCTCCTTCTCCCCCCATCACTCAGCGCGATGCTAGTCAGCGCAGGCGTTTGTTAGCTGACGTAACAGATCTGGCGGTTGGCGCTTTCCTCCGAGCGCGTTCGGCTGTCCAGTGACGTTGCGTGAGCGGCAGTTCGAAAAGAAGCGGTGGCGCTTCACAGGTCTCGGAGGAAGCCTGTGTTAGCCTTCACCCTCCTAGCGTTGATACTATAGTGTGACTGAAGGACGAGAAAATTGGGTTATATACAAACGAACTGATTACAAGTAATGGAAAACAGGTGTGTAGACTCAGAACTCAGGTGAGGTCAAGCGTTGAAATGAATGTCTACTGGTTGCTGGTGATGATGGAGGAGTGACGTGATCTCCCACTGAATTATGGGAACTGGAGTTTTCCAGACAGTCCCTATGCCCTAAGTGAGCCAAGAGGCAAAAAGGATCCAGTGGAGAAGACATCCTCAGCTAAAGGATTGACATGGTTGAGATTGTTGTACCCTTAATTTAAGATTATTTGTCTTATTTCTAGACATGTTTTACTTGTTTATAGTTTCACTATATTCGAAGATAATTTTGTTTTAAGAAATGTACTTGAAACCAGCAAATGATCTGCCAGTATAATTAGACATTTTACTTACTGAAATGACTAAAAACAAGTAAAAATGTCTAGAAATAAGCTAGTGTTATAATAAGTGCACAACCATCTCAAAATGGGAAATATTAGATACATCGACTAGATTTAAGATCATTTCACTTGACAAGATGTTATTTTTGGTAACATAGGTTCACTGGACATTTTCGATAGTATATAAAATGGTTATATTTTTGTCATAGACACTGCGACCTCTGGTTGGTATCGCCACCACTGTTAAGAAAGCAGAAAGAATCAAGAAGTTTTTCTACAGTGGCTCATTTCACAGCAAATGGTGCTTTGTTTACATCTCAGTGACAGAAATATGTGGAAATTTGAAGAAACGTGGTGTTTTTTTTATTTTTTTCCTTTAACCTAAATATTACCATTTTGGAGGTATAAGGCGACAATTTAAGGGTTAAATGCAGGGAAATACAGCAAGAGAGAGTGAGAGAGAAAAAGAGAGATGGATTGCTGTCCCAGTATGGATGGAAAGATGATGTGGAGGGCTCGGCGTCTTGTCTCCACTAAAGTGCTGTGCAGTTGTCATTCTCTAAGCAATGAGGTGACGGCCGAGCAAATACACATTTATTTTGGACGGATATAAAAAACACACACATACACACAGCGGCCCAGGGTGTGATTAGAGGGCTGTGAGGGGTGCTATCAGATACGCCACTCCAGCTGTGAGGCGATGTGAGAGAGTGTATGTATGTGTGACTGTGGCCTGGCACGGCCACTCTGGGTATGCAGTGAAGCAGTGGGCATTCTGGGGGAAGGCAAAGGCCCAGTATGTGTGCCTTAATGACACCACACATATGAAAGAGAGACAGAGGGAGGGGGAGAGAGAAGAATGTGATATCAAATTCTTCCCTACTTTAAGAGAACAGAGAAAGAGAGCAACAGTGGTACCATTTAGACCATTTGTGCATGACTGAAATAGGTGTGTCAGTGTGTGTGTGTATGGAGGGGTGTATGTGGTATGTGTGTGCATGCCTGAAATAATATTGGACTAATATTAGTTAAGCGCATTGGAGGGAAGGTTGAAAGAGGGGACATGAATGAGATAAATGAAGAAGACTGTGAGAGCAGTGAAGAATGTGTTAATAGCAGTGATTTTGCAGTTATTTAACAATTGTTTTCTTCTTTTTTTTCTCCAGTTTTATTGTTAGTGTCAAACACTCTCGTCTGGACCCTCACAACCACACAAACAAAGCTACAGCAACAAGGACACCAAGCCCTTCCACAGCGACTGCTGCCAACCGACCAACCAAAATCCAGCATAACCATCACCACTTCTGCTAGCGCCTGAAGATGATGACGATGATGATGGTGATGACAGTGATGTGCAGCTCATCACTGCTGCTCGGGCTGATCACTGTCAGCGCGTCGTCCAGTGGATCTTCATCATCTGCATCTTCTACCTCATCGTCATCCTCACCAAGGATGAAGCTTACTTACAAAGGTGAAATTTCTCACTCTGTGTGCGTGGCTGGTTTTATTGTTTATTTACTGTTTGCATGTTTGCAAGCATTTTAGAATTTGTTTATAGCCTGTGTGCACATGTGTGAGCACACACTGCAAAGTATCATATTCCCCTCTTTTCACTTATTTTGAGCAGTTTTATCTAGTGAAAATGTTTTACTCTGTTGGATAATTTTGCTTATTTCAAGAAATAATGCAGGTAGTTTTCAATAAATAGTGCTTGAAAAAAAAGCCAGTGGAACAAGATAATCTAGGCAAAATTACTTAAAACAAGTACAAATGTCTAGAAATTGGTTAAATAATCTCATTTAATATACGACAATATCATAATGAGGGTCCTGACCACTAAAGAACAGGATAAAAGGGGGCTAACAAAGTATGCAGAGAAACAGATGGACTACAATCTGTAATTGTAGAACTACAAAGTGCACCTATATAGTAAGTACCTACATAGTAAGTGGAGCTGATAGGTATATATATATATATATATATATATATATATATATATATATATATATATATTAGGGGTGGGAATCTTTAGGCACCTCACGATTCGATTCGATTACGATTCAGAGGGCTGCGATGCGATTATAAAATGATTATCGATGCATCTCGATGCATCTTTTTTCTCTATGTATGATTTCTATCTTCCTACTGTCTGAGGACTTGGTAGTTTTAAAGCAAAGTATTTGTAATGATCCATAATGTAAATGCATTACGGATCATTACGAATACTTTGCTTTAATTATCTAAAATATCCTTTATTAATAAATCAAATTGAAGTGATGTGGCAAGTGAACTAGAAGGCTCTCATTCAGAGACGCTGCTGCCACTCATCTGCGATAAAATGCGCTGTTGCCCTGAAATAAGATCCAGTGGCAATGGGTGTCCACGCAGTACGTCACAGCCACCCTTTTGTTGTAGAGAGAGTGTATTTTCGAGACTGGACGCTGAATCTCGGCTCCACAGTGTGCAGCATAGCGCGAAAGCCCTGGTTCTCAACGACTGAGAACAGACAGCAGGTCACATAGCCCCGAGGTCTGGCCTCGCCAGCAGCGAACGAAAAAACAGTTTAAGACGAACATTTGGAGGACTATTCGCATTTATAAGCAGCGCGGTTGGTTACATCTGCTGAGAGACTGTCTTTCTCTAAAAAGTTGCGAAAATGAACTCGCTTCTCTTTCGTATTTTCCCGTTCCACCTTAAATGGTGCAGCAGTTACATTCGGCGCCTAAGGCAGAATTTAAGGTGGAACGGGAAAATTAGAACGAGAAACTGGCGAATGAGAAGCGACTTCAGCCTCGTAAAACAGCCGGACGCTGAGACATTTTACAAGAAACTATTCAACTTTTGAGGAAAAGTTTTCTGGCGGAGATGGGAGGAAAGCGGCTATAGCTGAAGCTTAAAGCAGAGCGGAGTAAATCTGCGCTCTCGTTTATATTTTTAGCCCATACTAGAACATTAACACATACTGAGACATACTGGGCATTAAATGTTGTGGCTCCCAAGGTGGTTTGACTTCGTTGAAAGGCAAAATGGCTCTTCTTATCATTTGTGTTGTGACTCCTGATCTAACCTGGCTTTTAATGCAGAGGGAGCCGGTCGGATTTCTCGCTCATCCAGTAGTGTTTTTGTTATGTGCCGCCACAGACTGTCCGGGCGCTGCACTTTCCCACTTCCAGTTCTGCCTTTTGCGTTCCGTCAACATTACGTTATAAATTAAATATTTAGAAAATCGATTTCTGACGTTGAATGAATCGATTCAGAACCGTTCACGTCCGCATCGCGATGCGTCTAAGAATCGATTTTTCCCGCACATATATATAGTTGACAGTGTTTTGGGTATTTCGGCACTTTTTCATAGAAATCTATTTGTATGCACAGTCAAATTACATGCTTTGTTGATTTTTTAGGTGGAAATAAGTTAGCACATCCTCTACAGAGAACAAAGATAAATATGGCATTTTTTGCTAATTTTAGTGAAAAATTTCTATTCTACATTTTTTCAATGTGCTAAATTTAGCTAAAAACAGTTATTGTGCATTAGCATGTGCAGAAATGTGATCGCTATAGAAGATATGTTAATTTACACTTAAAAAACAATAAAACATTTGTCTCAATAAAACTTGCATTAGGCTCTGTGTATGTATATATATAATTGTGTGTGTGTGTGTGTGTGTGTGTTTGCTGCAGAGCTCCAGCAGTTTAACGGTGTGAAGAGGTTCGAGTTGGAACGCTCATGCTGTTTTGGAGCGCTGCTATTGGACGAGGAGAGAGGACGGCTGTTTGTTGGAGCGCGCAACTTCCTGTTGTCTCTCAGTTTGGACAACATCGCCAAACAAGAACAAAAGGTACATCTTTCTTCTCCCTCTCTCTTTCTCTCTTTCTCTCTCTCTCTCTCTCTCTCTCTCTCTCTCTCTCTCTCTCCAGGTGTCAGAGCACTGCACAGTTTCCTCTGCTTGGCTAAGGAGCTAATGAAGGGTTTGATAATTAGCTGATGAGTTGGATCAGGTGTTGTACACTGCAGTACTGTGGATTAGAGCTGATGGAGACAAATGAAGTGGAGAGTAGAGTGAAGAAAAGATGGATTGGAAGAGATTTAGAAAACAAAGGTGTAGCTAACCCCCCGCCCCCCCGCCCCCGACCCATGTTTCAATTCTCTTTCAGTTCATTTGCTGATCAGTGTAACCTGAGTGTCTACTGTCTCTCAGAATGTGAGACTTAGATAGAAGTGATATCAGAGAAAACACAATCAGCCTTTAAATTATCTAAGAGTATGTAAGTGATAGCTGAGTGTGTATGTGCATCTCGCAACCTGCGGGGAGTGTGTGTTAGAGAAAGAGAAAACAAAACAATAAGAAAAAGATGAACAGAATGAGAAAAAGACAGAAAGAGAGAGAGGGAGAGATAATGGAAAAACAGACAGAGAGAGAGCAAGAACAAGTGGGAGAGACACAGAATGAGAGAAGAAGACAGAGAGAAATGAGGGAAGTTAAGGAGGGGGAGAGGACAGAAGGGGGGTGGGGACTTTTGTAAAGAGCCGTTTACAGATGTTGGTTTAGATGGATGTTAAAGGTGATCTCTGCAGGCCTGAGAGCCGATGCCAGATGTCACAAAGGTGATGCAGGCCAGCATGCCGATGACAGAGTGATGGATCTTTATCTCCCCAAGAGGAAAAAGAAGAGATGAGGTCACTGTGTAGGGCACCGATATCTCAGAGAAGACCACACACACACACACACACACACACACACACCCCACACACACACACACACACACACACTTAGACACACACACACATTAGATCATGTCACTAACAGGGGTTCTCGCTAGCACGTCTGTGTGTGTATGTGTGTGTGTGTGTGTGTGTGTGTGTTTTAACTACAGTGTATCCAGAGAGAATGTCCCTCAGGCTACTGGGCAAGTCAAACCCCGCTATAGTCATAACCTTTACCTAAACTCCACCCTGACCTCTGACCCTCCCTCCTTTGTGTCTCCCTCAGATCTACTGGCCAGCACCTGTGGACTGGAGGGAGGAGTGCAACTGGGCAGGGAAAGACATCAATGTAAGCTTCTCAGTTTCATTTGCACAGTTTCTACACAGAGAAAGTCACAGCTCTGTGTTCATACATCGATAACATGCAATACATTTACTAAACCTACAGCATGTAACTTATAAATACATCCATATACAAAAAAACAGCAACCGGCCATAAACTTTTGCTATAAACCCTTCAGTGCACCCTTCGGGTTACTATTGACCTGTTTTGTTTTTTTTTTCATTTACATTTTATTATTTTGTTATGGTCAGTCAAATGGTTGACAGTTTTAGTCTATCTGACAGTTTGTAGATCAATTTATGTTGAATCTAAGTGCCCGGAGCCCTGCTGGTGACAACCAACCTGGTGGTAAGGTGTGGGAACAAGATAAGTAAGTCATGGCCATGACTTAGTAAGGCAGGGGAATGAAATAATTAAGTCATGGCCACAACTTAGTAAGGCGTGGGAACAAGATAATTAAGTTGTAGCCACAACTTAGTAAAGTGTGGGGATGAGATCCTAATGCATGGCCATGACTTAGTAAGGCATGGGAATGAGATGATTAAGCCTTGACTACAGTTTAATAAGGCATGATCTTATTCCCACACCTTAATCTCGTAGTCACGACGTAATTATATCATTCCCATGTCTTACTAAGTCGTGGCCATGCATTAGGATCTCATTCCTACGTGTTATTTTTATTTATACGGCATGTCACCAGCAGGGCTCCATAGTGCCAGGTAGCTAACATTAATGATTTACACTATATGTCCAAAGGTATTCATTCTGAAATCAAGGCTATAAATAAGGAGCTTGTTCCCCCTTTGCTGCAGTAACAGTCTCTACTCTTCTGGGAAGGCTTTACAGTACATGTTGGAACATTGCTGTGAGGATTTGATTGCGTTCAGCCATAAGAGCATTAATGAGGTCAGGTACTGATGTTGGATGATTAGTTCTGGATTTAAAATACCACTCCAAATCATAATGGATAGAGCTTCATCTCTCTAGAGACTGCAGTTCCACTGCTCTATAGTCCAGTGCTGGGGAGCTTTATACCTGCTTGCTATTGGACATGGTGATCTTAGACTCATGTGTAGCTGCTCTAGATCATCCTTTTCTATTGGCAGTGCTTTTCTAGAGAGATTATACAAGCTATGTGTGCGCAGCTGAACATCTGAGCCAGTAATGGGTACACCTTAAAACAGCTCAATTCACTAATTAGAAGAGATGTCTGGATACTTTTAACATAAAAACATAAACATTTGGTGAAACATCAATGCATTTGAAGGCTAACATTGTTAACATACCATCACTGTCATATTAAAACCATGTATCTCCAGTTTTTCCTGATTTTTTAAGTACAGCAGCTACCATTTACATTATGTGAACATGTCATGAAGAATAGACCACTGTAAAAGGTCCAAAAGTACATGTATAAAATAAAAAAAAATGATAAAATCTTGTTGCATTAACTTACATATAAATTTAAGAATGTTTTTCTTATTAAAATATATATAAATGTTCTGTACTGAAGTCTTTTGCTCATCTAGAGGACAAGTCCATCTGGACTAGTCTGAAAGCTAAAACTTTACAAATATTTCAGATGACAACAGAAAAGTAAGCCTTCTAGAGAAGTTCTGCTTTGTGTTGTGTTTTTGATTAATCACAATATGACTCTACTCACCGTGACTTAGAGTCTAATTGGAAACAGCTTTTCCTCTAGCAGTCTTTACGCTGCTGTAAAATTAATCCATAAGGACTGTACATCATTTCAGCCTGTCTGTAAGGGGCCTTTGATGACCTGTTCCTTTGCTTGTTTTTGTCTAGACTGTGATTAATCAAAATCCACTGAAAACATGTGCAGCGTGAGCCAATGTATTTACGCATTCTGCTCATGACTGCAGGTAATGATGTTCATGTGTACTAGCAGACACACAAACTTCCTGCCAAGTTGTTCTACTGTCAGACCGAAACCTCATGAGCAGTCATGTGTGGGTTGTGTGTCTTTTTTGTGTATATGAGTGCAGTCTGGACAAACACCAGACATTTCTACTAAAGTACTTGGTGTCACAGAAAAGATTTGAACACTGAAGGCCTGATGCATAAAGCCTTTTGAGCCAAATCAGGCCCATTCTGCCCACGTTATGTATGAAACTGATACACAAGCCCAGTGCATAGTAAAACACAGAGTGCGCTTCACTTTTTCATGCATTTGCATTTAAAGGAGGGCCTCAACAAACATGGCAGCATTGTGCAAAATGTGGAAGGAGATATTTCACATGCGGCTGCTTACGTATTTCACTTGATTTACTAGTCTGATCAGGTCACGGCAGCCAGCTTTGCATCACTTTTTAAAACCAAGCATAAATTTGTGCTAAGGTCACAGCAGTTAGATGGAGGCCTCAGACATGTGCTCTAAGAACATTTGCTATCAGAGCAACAATGTTTAAACCAGGGGTCAACAACATGTGGCTCCGGAGCCGCATGCAGCTCTTTAACTGCTTTAGATTTTTGGGTAAAAATAAAATAATGGTCCTTTGCAGTAAAATAAAGCTCTGCTGATCATTCTAACACTGGAGTTAATGTAGCCTATAACTGCTAATTCACCAATGTTTAACTCTGAAGATCAGTACGCAGACTGCTGGTCACATAGCAAAGCAGCAACGCAGACAACAGTCTCGCCTAGCTGACAGCTAACGAAGAGGCAAAGAGAAAGATTTAAGACATCGATAATTTGGAGACGAATGGACTTATTTGCATTTATAAGCACTCCAGCTGGTTTCCTGATATGTTTTATCTGCAATGAGAAGCTGTCAAACACTAAAAAAGTCGAATTTTCAGTTCCACCTAAAATGGCACTTGATGCGCCAGAATATAACTGCTGCACCATTTAAGATGGAACAGGGAAAATCCGAACAAGAAGCTGGTGATTGAGAAGCTGACTTCAGCGTTGTAAAAAGTCAAACATTGAGAGACATTTTACAAGAAACTATTCTACTTTTCCAGAAAAAGTTTCCTGCAGGAGATGTGAGAAAAGTGGCTATAGCTGAGCTAAAGCTTAAAGCAAACAAAATAAGTCTGAGTTTTTGTTTATATTAAATTTGTTAGTCTATACTAACACATTAAAACATACTAGGATATATTTACAGCCAAGATGGTAAAATGGACATTAAATGTTGTGGCTCCTAAGGTGGTTAGATTTTTGTTGAAATAACAAAAAAGGCTCTTCTTAACATTTGGGTTGCCGACCCCTGGTTTTGGGGCCAGATGTACATAAATGAGAAGATGCAGCACAAAATGTGCTCACTGGGTGTGCTATTGTTTCACAAACTCTATTTTCTTAGCTGGAGTATAAAAACACTCCTGTAGAATGTTTTGGCAGGAAAGAACTTCATTTATTAGCACCACTGTCTCACTGAATGGTCATTTTCTGTTTGGTCACTAGTTCCTTTTAAACCCTCATGAGTGAGCAGTTAGTGGGCAGGGCTACATGTTTTTGGCATGATAAGCTGCAGTCTTAGTAAATTGATTGTTAACCCCTTAACATTCCAGGCTTATTACATACTATGGCTTATTATTCATCAACTACAGGGACTTCAATGCAAACTATTGGAGCTTTTCTTAGGTCATAGAAGTGTGTAATAAAACCTTGGGCCCGTCGGCAGGCCCATGACTAAGGGGTAAGGGGTTAAATTCAGGTGCATTATGGGTGCTTATTGCGGTTGCATCAAGGCATCTTTTGCAATGCACCTGCACTCTTATGTACATCTGGCTCTAATTGTTTTAAATGCATCATGCGGATGTGTGTGGGTTGGCTGTGAACACACTTCAGTGCAGGGTGTGTTTCAGGTCATCTACGTAAGTTGTGTATGTGTGTGTCAGGGGGCTGGGGGGGGGGTGGTCTCTGGTGGCTGAGTAATATCAGCTGATTCAGAGATCTAAGCACAGATCAAGTTGGCACGGGAATACACACACACACCCATATGGAGGGTCCGTATTCAGAGCACTGACCCCTGACTTGCCCTCTATTATGAGTAGGTGTGTGTGTCAGACACCAAAGGGAGGGATTTAGACCTCCATGAAGAAAACACTGAAATCCTTTAGCCTTTTCTCTTAATCTGTCTCTCTCTCTCCATCCATCTCTACATCTCAATCAGTTATTTTGTAATCTCTCTCTCTCTCTCTCTCTCTCTCTCTCTTCTTTCTCTTTCTCTCACTTTCTCTTCTTTTGTCTCTCTCTCCCTCTGTCTCAATCTTTCTTTTATCTCCCTCTCTTTTTCTTCTTTCTCTTTCCCTTTGTCTCTTCTTTCTCTCTCCCTTTCTCTTTTGATCCCTCTATCTCTTCCTTTTCAGTTTTTCAGTATTCAAATCTCTTTCTTTTTCTCTGTGACACTCTTTTGCTCTTCTTTCTCTCTTCTTTCTCTCTTTCCCTCTCTCTTTTCTCTCTCTCTTTCTCTCCTGCTCTCTTTTTCTTTCCCTCGATTTCTTCTCTCTCTGTATTTTCTTGCTTCCTCTTTTTTTTAGCCCAAGGAGACACAAAAGTACTCGTTTATCATTCGCTAAAATCCCCTCTTTGTTTCGACACTGAGAAGCATTCTTTTCTTCTTTTTTATTCTTTTGCTCTTTTCTCTTTCTCCTCTGATAAAGTAATTACTCATCCTCCCAAACACAGGAGGGAAGTGTTTAGTCTCTCTTTGGGATGTCAGAGGGTGACATTATGAGGCTGAAATCACACACACACACACACACACTCACACACACACACACACACACACTCATTTTGTAATGTTCTAATGCAGTACTGAGGCTTATACTGAATGGCCCATTTGAATTGGGTTTGAATGAACTGACCCATCCATGCTCCACCCATCTGTTGCCAGGTTGGACATGCTTTATAAAATGCTAGCAAAAACACATTCAACCTAATGAGACACTATAGCAATCTTTTCATAAATAACATTGGGTTTTCAGTTTAAAAAGCTAGGCTGGGTTATGTTTCCCTTGAATAAGTTTTTCCCAGTGGAAAAGTACGTATTTGTACCTTTTCATAACCTAATGTTTTAAAACAGAACAATAAAATGCAAAGTCTAGAGACGAGACGGGGTGTGTGGAGTCAATACAACTTAGAATATATAATTTCAATGGATTATGGTACAGTTATGTTCCCTGACTAAAGGTACTGAGATGTACCTTTGAGGGTACTACCCCAGTGACAAGAGGGGTTCTGCCCCAGTGACAGTTTAAAACCTTTTTTTCTGAGAGTGTACCGATCCAATGCCAAGTATTGGGCCGACATCAGCAGAAAATGCCTGGATCAGATATTGGTGGGAAAAAGAACAAATTAGATTCAAGCCTGAACTAGCATACGCTCACATTGTGTTAACTGTGTATGCCTTCCTTTAGGGTGGTAGAGTGTGAGTAGTTTGAGCACAGTGTCATCATAATACTTATCTTAAGTGAGGTGCTTCAGTTAAAAATAGTTTATTTTAAAACGTAGTAGTTTTTGAAGAAATAATATTGGACAGTATCCACTAAAAAAATCAGGGTTTCACTATTAATACTGGAGAAGAGAAAGTGGTTTTGTGCCATCTCTAATTCTATCCTAACAAAATGACACATAACATATGTACATTTCATTTGAAATTAACACTACATTCAGATATTTTGACATAAAGGTAAGGATTTAAATTGACATTAAATTGAATAGGATTTGTGCCAGCGTCCTGTAAAGCTGTCCAACCTGGCAACAGTTTATACAAAAAGAACCCATTTGTGATTGGAGCATGAATCAGTCAGTTTCCCAAACTCAACTACATCAACTGGATCTCATTATGACTGCACTGCAGGTTTATTTACCAACATAAAGTGATTTAACTCTGAATTATAGCATCTTTTTTCAGATTTGACTTTGGATATTTATTTATTTATCCTTATTATGCCTTTCATTAGATTATACACATACAAAAGCACTGAGGTCTCCTGCTAGTTTAAGCCATGTTGGGGTCAGTATACACTGCCTACAATGTGCACAGTCACACGAGGATTTAATGATCACGCTAATACAAAAGTCAAAGGTTAAAGTTCACGAGTGCCACTTAGTGGGAAGGACAGCTCAGAATCACCACACACACACACACACACACACACACACACACACAGTCACAACTGCACATATATTCTCTCTCTTAGATCACTGACTGACTCTTTCGCATCTTTTGTTTCATTCCTCATTTTTCTCATTCTTTTTTCTCTCCATCTCTTTGTCTCAGGGGCTCACTTCAAAGACCCTCTGTGCCAGTTAGTTGCCCCCCCTTCACAGACACACACACACACTTTTCTCCACCCTGTACCCCTCACTAATTGAGAGCTGTAAAGCTTCTGAAATAGAAGAGAGAGAGAGAGAGAGAGAGAGAGAGAGAGAGATCCTTCCTTTTATAAACACGGTTTGTCAGTGACTTAATTGGCTGTCGATGGGTCTGACCCCCCCTTACACTCACTTCATGGGGAGCAGTAAGCTCAAAGATAGGCTTTTGTTCTGGGAGAGAGCAAGAGCGTGTGTGTGTGTGTGTGTGTATGATTGTTATTATTATTATTATTACTTATTGGTACATTCTGTTTATACATTCTATTGGTACACTTATTTAATAGATTATAGTATCACCCCTTCTTACATATAAAGTGGGATTTGTTTCAATGGTGCTGGTAAGCTTGTGTTCATTGATCGGACCATAAAGTATTTTTAAGCATTTTAAATGTAAACCACTTAAGTCTGCAAAGAAACTGTCAAACAGCAATGATCTGAATCACCAGCCGCCTTTTGAAAGAATGCAAATTTAAGTTTAAAATAAATGCAATTTAGTTGGACATTCCCAAAACAATGAACTTAGTACGTTTTAAGTATGACACAAATGTCCAATACTTTTTGGGGCCACTGTATACGTGTGGGGCATAATGTCATTTAAGCTTTTTCTACCCCAAGTACACAATCTTTACAATCTTTAACTCTGTTAAGGGTCATATTCAGGCCCATATTTTCCATACTAAGCTGACAAAGAGTATTTAAATCAGCTACTGTCTCCATAAATGTCATTAAATTGAACAGCGCCAAATGAATTGCTAGTGTTTCTATTAGAAGGTCCTCCTATTAGCTCATCAGCTCTTTCACAGATTAGATACTGTCAAGAGACACCAATAGTAGCCCTACAATAATGATGTCAGTAGAGTTCAGTGATTTTAAGTCACAGTTCAGCTGTTACTAAAACTTGTCAGCTAAGAAGTTACAACAGCCCAATAAACATAAGAAGAGCAGGCAGTTGAGAATGGAACATGATGTCATTTTGAAGTAGACGGTTTAATCTAATCGTAGAAAACCTTGAGAGCAGCAGACAGATAGACAAGCTGCAGAATCAGCCTGAGATACAGACAGAATTAGAGACATAACAGAGAGAGAGAGAGAGAGAGAGAGAGAAAATAGAGAGAGAGAGTGTGGTGAAGGCAAAAGAAAGATCGATTCACTTTTTTAGTACTATTCTATGAGAAAGAATTCAATTTTCCGTTGGTTTGTTTTGGTATCTTATTAAAAAAACATAACTCTCTCTCTCTCTCTCTCTCTCTCTCTCTCTCTCTCTCTCTCTCTCTCTCTCTCACTCTCTCTCTCTCTCTCTCTCTCCAAAAATCTATCATCCTTAAGGTCAATACTCCAGTCCCCTGAGGCACAGGATAAAAGCTTATTGTACTAAGACAGATGTTTGGGCCTCTGTGTGTGTGTGTGTGGGTTGTGTGTGTGTGTGTGATCTGACCCCACTTAAACAGATGTTGGGGTTCAGTTCATGGGCTGGAGGTAATGTTCCTCTGAGGGAAGTGATGAACGAGGGATGCCACTTTCTCAAAAAGACAAGCGGAGAGAAGGAGTGATTACAGTACAGACAGCTGCTACTGAAATGGGAGAAAGCCACAGACTGATAGAGGGGGATCACTTATCCTCCGCCATGTGGAGGGGTTTGATAAAGAGGACAATCGTTCTCTTCACTTGTCTTCTCTTCTCTTCTTTTCTCTTCTCTTCTCTTCTCTTCTCTTCTCTTCATCTCCATCTATTCATCTATTCTGCATGGAAGCCGCTGGCAGTGTTTAAAGGTAGTGATTAACTCTGGGCCTTCAGTGGCCGGTGCATTTTTTCCTCCTTAAATTCTCCCACAGTCCTCCCCTTCATCCTCTCATCCATTCCCTATTCATCCTTCCATCTCTCCCTCTCTCTGCTGTGGAATCCGGACGTTCCGATGCTCTCGTGTTGTCGTAGCAATTCAGGGAGCTCTGGGAAACGTGGCACGCTCCAGTGAGCGCCGTCACAAGTCATTATAAGAGTGTGTGTGTTGTGTTTGTGTGTGTGTGTGTGTGTGTGTGTGTTTAAAAGAAAGAAAGTCAGAGAGATTACAGATGGCTCCGGAATCACAGTGAGCATGAAAGGTCAGTCAAGGTGTCAGACTGTCGTTATGGATACGCAAAGCGGTGACGTCATATTTCTGAAGAGACAAAATAAACATGCGGATACAAAACAACTTACCAGTCTATGTTTATGTGTGAGTGTGAGCATGAAGCCGTATGCGCGTGTGTGAGTGTGTGTGAGTGTGTGTCCTTGGCAGGAAGTTATTGAGAGACAAACCAGATGGTGGCTCTCTCTTCTATGAACTGTGTGAAGCATGTGAAAAATTCATGTCATAAAGGCTGATTTGTGTGTGTGTGTGTGTGTGTGTGTGTGTGTGTGTGTGTGTGTGTGTGTGTGTGTGTGTGCATTTTGCAGACGGACTGTGTTAACTACGTGAAGGTGTTGCATCACTTTAACCGCACTCACCTGTATGCGTGCGGGACAGGAGCCTTCCACCCCACCTGTGCTTACGTGGAGGTCGGACAGAAGATGGAGGTGAGCCTGAGAGACCCACGGCTGCACAGTCACAGCTGTGAGGAAGAGTCCAGTTTTCCACTGGCAGATTCTGTGTTATGCTGTCAAAAACAGTTTCTCTCTCTCTCTCTTTCTCTCTCTCTGTCTTTCTCTCTCTCGTTCTCTTTCTCTCTCTCCCTCTCTTTTGTTCTCTTTCTCTTTCCATCTGTCTCTCTTTTGTTGTTTCACTCTTTCTCTTTCAAATGTGGTATTTCTCCCTTCTCCCTCTCTCTCTTTCTTACTTTCTTTCTGTCTCTCTCTCTTTGTTTCATGTTCTCTTTCTTGCTCTCACTCTTTTAATCTCTCTCCATCTCTCTCATTCTCTTTCTCTGTCACTTGTATTTCTCTCTCTCTTTCTCTCTGTTTTGTTCTTTTTCTCTTTCCATCTGTCTCTTTGTTGTTGTCTCTCTCTCTTTCTCTCTCAATTTGGGTCTTTCCTCTCTTTCTCCCTCTCTCTCTTTTGTTCTTTCTGTCTGTATCTCTCTCTGTTTAATGTTCTCTTTCTCGCTCTCACTCTTTCAATCCCTCTCCATCTCTCTCTTTTGTTCTTTCTCTGTGTCTTTTGTGCTCTTTTTCTCTCTTTCTCTTTTGTTCTCTCTCATTCTATCTCTATTATTCTGTCTCTGTCTCTCTTTCTCTTTTGTGCTCTTTCTCTCTCTCTCTATCTCTTGTTCTCTTTATCTCTCTTTCTCTCTCTAGGATCATGTGTTTCGGATCGATCCATCTCTAGTAGAAGACGGTAAAGGGAAGAGTCCATATGACCCACGTCATGCAGCAGCCTCTGTCCTGATAGGTCAGTATGGCTTTCCTTTTCTCTTTGTTCCTTATACATACACACTGTCTTATGGTCAAAAATGATTGGGAATAAAACCTCTTTACTTGAACACTCAGTAACCATTTAAGACTGACACAAAAACATGGCTATTTCTGCCATTCTGTTGCATTTATTTGACATGTGAAGAATCTAGAAAAGCCAAAAATATTAATTTTATCAAAAATAATCTTTCTGAACAGGAAAATCAGTTGCGATGTATTGTTACTCTTTTTAAACAAAACAATAATAAGTGCTTACTGATCAAATTGCCTTCTGAATGAGCCTGCGCCCTCTCTCAGAAAAAAATATCAATGCATGCAATAATGAAGGGTGCCTCATGCATCTTTTATGCAGTGATAGGACACATAGTATGATGTAGAAAGCACTAATTCTATGCACTGTTACTTTTTACTGTAGCCAGCATGCACATGAATGATTTAAAGAAATTTAAGGGCCAATGCAAAAGGTTAAAGTTTAAGACTTTTCAAGACTGTTTACTGACAACAACTGAATAATTGAATTAAATTAAGTTAAACTAAATTAAAATAAATATTGCAATTGTGTTTTGATATTTTGTGATTAGATTTTTTCCAGATCACTTATCTGGAAAAATAGATGAAGTAGAAGGGAAAATGTTGGTACAGGTCACTAACAACCTGAGATATGCAGTTAAAAGTATTTATTTTTCAAATGAAATCTAAAATAAACAAACCACATCAGATATTACTGTAGTAATCAACACAGAATGTGCTCCCACATCTCCCTACACCTGATTCAGCTCATCAGATATTCATTAGATCACTGGATCAGAACAAGAGGGAGGGTGTGGAGGAGAGAGATAAGAGACATACAGAGGGAGAGAGAGAGAGAGAGAGAGAGAGAGAGGCAAGCACTGGGCTTGCCTTTCCACATAAGTGACTGTTACCTGTGTTGTCTCCTAGGTGATGAGCTGTATTCAGGCGTGGCCACTGACTTGATGGGGCGGGACTTCACAATTTTCCGCAGTCTGGGCCAGAGACCCTCCATACGAACTGAACAACACGACTCTCGCTGGCTCAACGGTGCGTGTTTGCATGGATAAGTTGAATTGTTGACAAGTTGAATAGTACTGTATGTCCACTAGGTGGTGCTCTGTGCAGCTGTTGATTAGTCAAAGACAGCACCTGATCCTAATAATGAAATACTGCAGTGACTGAAGCAGCAATATACATGCAGGAGGAGGGTCCAGAAAGCAGCTTTCCTTTCATTTACATCATGAAGCCGAACATACTCTGTTAGTCTGGAAACATCATAACAGATGCAAGAAGGTCCACCGCCATGTTTAAGTTATGTAAGACTGCACTAAAACACAACAAAGGGGCTGTTTACATCTGTTTGGGGAAGAAATACCAGGCATAAACACATCCAAGGCGTAGATTACAATAGCATTTTGATTGGATCACTCAAACCACATTCGGAGGTGGTCAGAGACAAATGTTGACCACATTCAACACAAGTGTAAATGGAATGTATCTTCAGTATCCCACATAGAATTATACAAGGCTTGATTTTCATGTAGTGGTGCCGACAAATCACCACAGCTTCAAGACAAAGCCTTCCCCTCCGCTGATGCAGATGACTGCTCATGCGAGAGACCATTGTCGGGACCAAGGGCTATCCCCTTCAACCCCAAGCCTCCAACATAATATTATGAATTAAAAAACAAATCTTTTAATTCCAGCTAAACACTTACTAATAACTGTTTTAAGTCTAAGTTCTCAAAAGATGTCTAAAAGGAAAGAGTCTTCAGATGCTGGGTTTGTGGAAGAGGGAAAAAGGCTTCTTTATTTCAGCATCAGGTGGCAACTGCACAAATACAGTGTTCGAAACAACAGTTTATATACCATTTATCTGGGGTAATTTGATATCCCCCCACCTTACTTCTCAAATTTTGATATTAGCTCATTCTCCAATAGGTGTATCTCTTTGTCCATCAATTTGGTCATCGCATGATGAGCTCACTCCTAAAAACTGGTTTCAACAGGTTTGTACCAGTCGGCTTTACTTTTCAAGGTCAACTTGCCCCTCTCTTCACTGGGTCAGTAGGTACACACAGGCCTCTCTGTGAACCCAGGGGCTTTCCAGTGTCTAGAATCTCCTTTGCAGACAGTCTAAGGCTGACCTTTTGTGAGAGAATTAATATTCTCTGTTAGCCAATGCTACCTATTTGGTTATTGGTTACAATATCTAATCTATTTGATTACTGATAAAGGCAATACTTATTCAAAATCTCCGTCACCATGTTTACAGTAAATGACTTCTTTTTTATTGACGAAGAAGTTAAACAACATCTATCAACATTAAATTACTTAACATGTTTTACCTGATTGTGATTTATTTAACCTTTTAATATCCCAGACTAGTATTACATACTAAGACTTATTACTCAGTAACTACAGGGACTCCAATGCAAACTGGTTGAGCTGGTCTTAAGTTACAGGAATGTGTAATAAAACCTTTTCTCTTCAGAGAACAAGCAAAAAATCTTAATTACGCCAAAACTTTTGCACAGGCTACATTTTATGCTTTTGTTTCAATATGTGAATTTCAGTGAATAAAGAGTAATTGTTCATTGAAATGAAGTGTGAGGATGTGTTAACTTATTTTTACTTAGAAAATCAACAAAACATGTCTTTTACCAGCGCGCCCAAACTTTTGCATATGACTGTATACGTTGGTGTGTTTTTTACACAAGAAAGCCTTCTCGTCTTCTCACAGTGAGGACGACTCATTTTAGTGAAAAGTGTAAATGAACTATCCAGATATGATAAGAACATGAAACATATGTCAAACAAGCTCAGAATACTTCTGCTTTGCATAAGCACCTCAAAATGAAGCTTCTAGTAGCCCCTAATAACAAGGTGGACCACAGGGGACACAGGCAGGGTAGCATCACTTCAGAAAAGCATCAGCGTCTTCTGAAAGTTTTGAAGTGGCAAATTTGGAACTGTTCAACTAAAGGAAAAGACGAGTAGTCGACTACTTTTTGAGTAGTTAGTAGACAAGTAAGAAAGAATAGCTGTGCAAGCCCTATTGTTATCTCTGTGTAGGTGTACTTATGTTAATGAGTTCCAGAGCTCCAAGAAGTGCTTGCAACTGAGGTCCTTAAGTGATTTAAGCTGCTGATACCGGAAGATGCTCCAACGTCCAGCTCAACATCTGTTACATGGATTTGTGTGTGTGTGTGTTCCAGAACCGAAGTTTGTTGGCGCTTTTGCAGTTCCAGAGAGCGAAAACCCTGATGACGATAAAGTTTTCTTCTTCTTCCGAGAAACGGCCGTCGAAGCTCAAGGCTTTGGCAAGGTCACCTACGCTCGGATTGGCCAGCTGTGCCGGGTAAGCAGCCAGCTCAGCAGCTTTACTCTGACTTCAGCGGAGCTAAGCACTGATTGGCTAATGAGAATCGATTCGGTCATGGTTGAGTTCTTAAGAAGACACAAGCAAAACAATAAAAGAGGTTGAATCAGCTCTGTGTGGCCTTGTTTGTAAGTCTAGCATGTATGTGTGTGTGCTGTAGAATGATATGGGAGGACAGAGAAGTTTGGTGAATAAGTGGACGACGTTTCTGAAGACTCGACTCGTCTGCTCTGTGCCGGGCAACGAAGGCAGCGAGACACATTTTGATGAGCTCAGTAAGAACACGCGCACACATACACACATACACACATACACACACACACACACACACACACACACACACACACACACACACATTTATAGTACTTCATTTGAAATAACAAACAATATGAAGTAATCATGACAAAATCCAAATGTTTAGTAAACAGGGGTAAACTACAGTGGTAATCTACTGGCCTGTGCTTCATAAGGGCTTTTACATATTTACAATTTATCCTTAATCTGACCCCCACATCATTTTTTTTTTCTGCAGCCATATTTTACATCTGATGAACTTGCTTCACTCACCACACACTGTAGCTGGTAACCAAACATTAAAATCAAACGGAAAAAACAACAACAAAAAAAGAAAGAACATTATAAAATAACTAACTTAGTTACTGTTCTAATTTAGATTGGTACTTAGTTTAATCTGCCTTTGTGGTTTCATTCACGATATAGCAGTAGATACCATGTAAATTCAGAAAGCAAAAGAAAAATCAAACAAACCCACTGAGAATGCAGAATTAACTTCTGTCTTTGGATATATATGAGTATACATGTAAACTATGAAGTTTTCATACTTTAAAAAAATATCAGACACTTTTTCCCCAATTTTTTTAAACTGAACAAACTAGTTGGAGAAGACCACCTGGCTAGTGGGCCCAAAGTAATTTGCATTTGAGGCTGTTTAAAGTAATTATGCAACTTAAATCTGATTGATTTTTAACATAGACTTTGCAAACACAACAACACACACGCATAAGCTCCTCTCAGACATACACTCACCCAAGAGAGTCCCTTGTGTCAGTTTAAGCTCTGACCACTTGAGGCCATATTTGCTTGACCTTTGACCCTAGTATCACCCTTTAGGGGACGTGTTCCTGCTGCAGACCCGAGATAGGAAGAATCCACTGGTCTACACTGTCTTCTCCACTTCCAGGTCAGAGGGTCAATACTCTGAACTTTATTTATTTATATATATACATATGCCCAAGGCATGTTATGAAATCGTACTTCATAAAGTTTTTGCTATTGGTCTCCTTTATAAAGTGTTTCTGCTAATCTTCCAGCAGTGTATTAAGAGCGTGTGTGTCTTTCTTTCTTGCAGTAGTGTATTCCGAGGCTCAGCCGTGTGTCTGTACACTATGAATGACATCCGCAGGGCGTTTCTGGGGCCGTTTGCCCATAAAGAAGGACCCAATTATCAGTGGGTGCCCTACCAGGGCAAAGTCCCTTACCCGCGACCAGGCATGGTGAGCTCCTCACTGTAACGAGAAATTACAGTTAGAGCATTGAGCACTGAACAGGAACATGGGGATTTAATGGTCCGCTGTAGATGCTTTATATAGATCCTCCTCCATGACCCTGACCCTCACCCTAACCCTAAATCTAACCCTAATCCTAGCCCTAACCCTGATCCTAATCCTAATCCTAACACTATCCTAATGTCATTGATAATGAACTGACTTTCACCAACTAGTTTCTGCAGTTTAAGCATTTGTAGATTAGCTATAAGGGACTATCCAAATAAAGTGTAGTCTTTCTTTTTACATGTTCATTTCCCTGTTATCTTTTTCACATTTGCCCACTTTCTGCTTCTTGCTTAGTGTCCAAGTAAGACGTTTGGCAGTTTTGAGTCCACTAAGGGCTTCCCAGACAACGTGATCCAGTTTGCACGTCATCATCCACTAATGTATAACCCAGTAATGCCGCTGGGGAGCCGCCCGCTGTTCCTGCGCACTGGAATTCCCTACAGCTTCACACAGATTGCAGTGGACCGCGTCAACGCAGCTGATGGTCACTATGACGTCATGTTCATCGGAACAGGTCAGAGAGCATCTGTCTGTGTTTTACTGTGCTCATCAAGTTTGATGACACCTAGTTTTTCAAACTATTTTGGGAAAGCTTGACATCAAACAGTCTTGAACACTAAAGTTTATGTTGCAGTCAGTTTATTCCCAAGAGGGAGACAGCTCAGCTAAAAAAGCTGTTTAAAACCTTAACATTTGAATTTACAGTGTAAGAGCAAGACATTTTCAAAATTTATGAGTCATGACAGAGTAAAACATATTAGTGCTACTGGAAAGCCCAATATTAATAATATTGATTAACTGTATGGCAGCGATAAACTGAACTAGTAAATCTGAATACCACTATATCAGTTGGGGTGTGGGATGCATCTCATTTCTGTCTCTTTGTATTTTGTTGTTTGCAAACCTCTGGGCTATAATGTTCATATCTTTTGGTAGATGTTGGCACAGTGCTGAAGGTGATCTCTGTGCCCAAGGGAGGCTGGAGCAACACAGAGCTGCTCCTGGAGGAGCTGCAGGTCTTCAAGGTGAGCCTTGGAGATATGCTGGAAAAATGTATCATGATAACATTCAATATTCAGTAGTATCATAATGATTATTATGTGCATTTTATAATGCTTATATCTAAAATGATTTCTCAAGACAACACACACAAAGTTTAATTAAGAAATATTTACTAGGTCTTTACACTCAATATTTAGAGCCTATAAAACATGCAGCCCCTAACAAAAAATTTAGCACCCAGCCGGACATGATTAGTAGGGGTAGATATTTCAAGATTGTTTAACTGCAACTGATAAAAATAATATTATTAATATAAATATGTTAACCACTGCAAAGACCTGTGCTTTTTGTAGGTTGGAGGTTTTTTGATTTCATAGCTATGCACTGTTAAACTTAACATTGCATTTTAGTGTGACGTGAATAGCTTCCCTTGATAATTGTTGGCTGCCTGGGTGCATGGTTTTCTAAATTAGTTACCCGTGCCTGTTGCCACAGAACTGTTCAGTGGGATAACATTATGACATAGCTATTAGCTTTTTGGTCGGTATTGTGCCACTCCATCCTGAGTTATTTCTAAATCAAAAACAGTTAAAATAAGTTAAGTTCACTCACGCAATTGCCAAATCAATGAAAGCAGTGCACAATTTTCAACTCTCAATCAATAAATGTGAAACTATCAATTTAACAACAATTACTAAATGTTAAACGGTGTTTCTAACTAGGAGAGAGGAGCTGTTAGCATTAGCTTAGCATGCTAACAGTTCTGTTCACCACAGAATGGGTTTGATTCTGGATAACAGAAGCTTTGCTGGTGCAAGTTTATATGATAATGACTCATTTTTGAGGGAGTCAAATCATGTGTTCTGTGGTCTCTGGATCTGTACCGTCTTAGCTAAGCTAAGTTGGCTCCTCTCTCCTTTTTAGCAGCACTCCGCTACAGATCCAAACACAATACGGGTTTGCTTCTGACTAAGTAGTGCTCTGCTGTTACAAGTGCAGATGATAGAAACTCATGTCTGAGTCAACTGACTGGGGTTGGGAGTGACAGAAAGCCAAAATCGAACCTCTTCAGTAGTGTTTTGAACTGTAGCCTGCTGGGCTAAGCTAATGTTAGAACCATTAAGCTCTTCAGTGGAAAAGAAGGCATTATAATTTTCTCTTGCTATATGTGCGCATGCAGCTTGATTTTGGGTGTGACACAAGCGATGCGGGCCGAATAGGATTGTGCCACGGGCCTGACTTTGCCTTCGGGCCTTGTGTTTGACACATGGGCTGCAGACCAACTATACTTCAAGGTCAGCATGTGTGTGAACACAGCTTCATGTTCTTCTCTCTCTCTTCAGGACTCTTCATCCATCATCAACATGCAGATCTCCTCCAAACGAGTAAGTTGCCTTCATCTCTTGATGCAGTTCTTTAATAACTTACAGCATGTCTGTAGCTTCAAGAGTCCTCTTCTGATGTCTTCCTTAACCTACGACCTTAAGCAGTGTGCTTGAAGAAAACGGACCAAAGAACATCATATTGCTAAAAACAGCAGTACAGCTGGAGACTGAAATTTGCCTGTACTTTTGTCAATTTTTGTAGATTGACTTGGCTTGTTTAAAGCAAGTGTGAGATGGCACTTAGTGAGGTATAAGCTTTTATTACTTGCTTTCTACATTGGAGAACCTCAGACACCAAACATGTCTGGGCTGAACAAACCAAACATGAGCCCTTGGTTTCATCTGAATTAAGGATAAGAATGAGTAGATTTGATTTTTTACCAAACTATTCCTTTAAATTGAAGTTCATAGAAGTTTATATGTCTTGCAAGATGAACCTCCTCTCTCCCCCTAGTCACTGCTCAGGGGCCGTAAAAAGGTATTGATAGAGGTTGGTGTTTGTATAGTGAGAGTAATGACACTGGGGTGATTTCTCATTTGAACAATAACATGATAACAGCAGCATCAGCAATTCCACCCCAAAAAAGCTACATGAAAATATTTCCCTAAATGAACACTGCAAGAAATTACATCGATTAAGATCTAAGATAAAAGAGGCAATCAAACCACAACAAGATTGGGAGCTTTCTAGATTTCCAGATTAGATTTCTAACTAATGAAAGTGTGCCCTTGAGTGTCCTTGTCCATTCCTCATTTTAGTAATTTAACAGATAAAGAAGCTCATTTGACTTTCTCTCTCTCTCTCTCTCTCTCTCTCTCTCTCTCTCTCTCTCTCTCTCTCTCTCTCTCTCTCTTTCTCCCTGCAGCAACAGCTCTATGTGGGTTCTGATACAGGGCTTGCTCAGGTGCCTCTGCATCGCTGCAGTATGTACGGTAAAGCATGTGCTGAGTGCTGCTTGGCCCGAGACCCCTACTGCGCCTGGGATGGACATGCATGCACGCGTTACCTGCCCAACACCAAACGGTGCGCTACAGCAGGACCATTGTGTAACTTTAAAATTGCACCAGCTTAATTCTTGATAAAACCATAATGATAATATGATTAATTGCTGCACAATTTTCATTTTTTGATAGTTTGCATTGAACGCTTGCATATACTTATTTATTTTATTATTATTAATCTTTATATTCATACCAATTGCTTTAGTTTGATCAATGTAATATCTACCTGATGCCTATAGATGGTAGTAGCTTTGAAAGGCCAGTGAATAAGATCTCCTTAGCTTGCTGTTTGCTGCACATTCACCATGTCAGAAATAGGACCAGCTCCTGTGGTGTTTAAAAAAAGTGCAGACGCACTTTGACTTTATTAGGAAACCAGAGACTGGAGTATAGTTTTTGCGATAGTATCTGTTAAGTTGAAAAAGTCAACATTAAATATTCAAGTTCTGTATTCATGTTACTGGTTCGTTCTTTGTTGTTCAGGGTATCAATAACATGTAATTAAATTTGCCCTTTTTTAAGTTTTGTTTTGAGCTTTAACCATCCAATTACAATATTTGTGATGAATTGTGATATAGTTAAATTGTGACACATGTATTGTACGTACCATATCAATTGGCAATATGCTGCTGTTGCTGTAATGTTTAAGATCATTTTCATCACTTCTGTGTGAAATATTAACTCATTGTGTGTGTATGTGTTACTGTAGGCGGTTCCGTCGCCAGGATGTAAGGAATGGTGATCCTAACACACTCTGCTCAGGAGGTGATTTTTTTCTTAATTATATTTGCATATCAGCTTTAAAGCCACAGGAAACCTACATCCATGATTTATGTCTAATCAGGTTAATCTTGCTATTGTGGGTGCACAGTGTACATGTACAAAGCATACAGTATGCTAAGCTTTCTAATGTTCAATTAAAGACCAATGTATTTCACCAAAATTCTCCACTATTGATATAAAGTGAGTGGTCCTAATTCTGAGTAAAGCTTGTGTAAATACAAACCCCACCGGTCACAAGGCTGATGTGGCTTGTCCCACTCACACAGCATTAACACAGCTTTGTTACCCCACTGTTTCTCTGTGTTTGAGTTTGTGAAACTTTGCGAGTGAAAGCCAACCACCTACCAAAACCTAACCTATTACACATTACTGAGCTATCAAGCTGTCGTCCATTTGTTTGTATGTCCATATGTCCAACCAGCCATGCCAGCCTACCTGGATGCACAGCAGTAAAGTGAATAAAAATCTTGCCTTCTTTAAGAGTCACCATGTGAATCTAGATCATATTATTAGCCTTGGACACAGAATGTTAGTCTACAACACCATTTGTATATGTACACCACATTTCACTCATTATCCTCCACTATTGTTTAGTGTTTTCTTTGCTTCCGTGGTGTAGCAGGCTGGCAGTCCAGGACAGAGGGATGTCAATCATGCGTGCTTCTTAGAATATTAGGGACAGGCAGTTCTCAGATAGGTCTGATCAGCATTTTTTTAGGCAGGTTTGTTAGATGTGTAATGTGGGGGTCTTTATTGGGAACATCCAGATAACAAGCAGGTAAATAAACATTACAGGGATCCATGAAGAAAAAAACAAAAACTCTGTAACACAGAAAACTAAGAACAAACAGACTGTGAAAACCTGAGAACACTAATGCTAGATAAATACAAAGGAAACACAAGCAGGGAATCAGGAACACCATGAACAATGCTGGCTAGGGAACAAAGACACAAAGGGGTATCTATACAAACACTCAAGACAAGAAACACGTGAGAACACTTTACAAGGGCAGGGCTAGAAATGAGAAACAAGTGAGGGCTGAAGACAGGGCAGGACAAATGAGGAGCAAACCAAAAAAAATACCAAAATAACAACAAAAAGCACAAGGAAGAGTAAAACAGAGAAAGAGAAAGACAGGGCATAACAGCTGGGTGTATAATATAACACTCGATTTTAATATCATATGAACATCATAAATATGCTTGGATTTAAAAGAAGCGTCTAGGAAAGGCCTAGTCCTTGATGAACAAGGATGGGTCTAGGCTCACCACTGGATCATCTAAACTGCTTATCCTTCTGGGTTGTGGGGGGTGCTGGAGCTTATCCCAGCTGTCATTGGGCAGAAGGCAGGATACACCCTGGACAAGTCGCCAGTTGGAATGAGCATGTATTTACCAAAAAAAAGTAGTTCATAAGGTAAAACATGAAATATTGTGTATTGTACCATTTTTAATTGAATACAGATCAAACAGAATTTTCTGATCACTGCTTACTGTTTTCATTAGCATTTCACGTACTGTCCCAATATCTTTGGAATTAAGTTGGTAACATTTCACACTGTGTTTGTTTGGGCTCTAATGTATTTGTGTATTTATTCAGTGTCTCACAATTGATTAGACTGGTGTAACCTCCCTCTTAATGAAGATGTACTATTACACTTACTGTAAGGGATGTACTATAAGGTGCAGTGGCTACTATGCTGCCTAAGTGTTTATATTTACAGAGTTGCTCCGGACATTATACTATTTTTGTCTACGTACCGTCAGACTACAAGAACTTTAATATAAAAAAACATGCAAAGTAATTTATGAATAAATATTACTAGAGAATAATTCATTACTATGAATGTTCATAGGATCCACAATGGGAAAAGGGGCTAACAATACTCCATGATGTGTTTTGCAGATCACCAGAAACAGCGTGTTTTGGAGAAGAAGCTGTATGCAGTGGAGGGCAGCAGCTCCTTCCTGGAGTGCATTCCCAAATCACTGCAGGCTCAGGTCACCTGGACCTACCAGAGACACCCCAACAACCAACGAGAGGAGGTAAAAGAGACAGACACAGGAGTGGAAAGAGGGATGAGGGAGATAAGAAGACAAAGAGAGGAAGAAAGACAGAGAGGTTGAGAGAGGTAGTGAAGGTGAATACAGAGGAAAATAGAGAATAAGTGAGAGAAAAAAGAAAGAAAGAATAAAGAATAAAATACAAGTGCAATAATGTGAGTGAAAGAGGGAAATGGAAAGTGAAATACTGGAAAGAGGCAAGACAGGGTTGATAAGAAATGATAAATCTGTTGCTTTCTTTTTAATTAATGATCTTCTATCTCTCAATACTTATCAGTCTGGCTGCTCCAACCCAGAAGTGATGCTAGTTTCAATGCGTGTGTGTGTGTGAGAGTGTGTGCGTATGTGTGTGTGTGCGTATGTGTGTGTGTGCGTATGTGTGTGTGTGTGTGTGTGTGTGTGTCTATGTGTATGCCTTTGTTTTCCTAAAAATTACCCCCAATGTAAAGGGGTATCTAATATTTCCGAAGTATGTTAAAAATGAAAAAAATGACAAAAATTGCTACTTATTGTATTAATGTTATTTGTATTTATTCTGGCATATGTGTTTTTCCAAATAAATGAACACAAACTGTCCAGTTGAATAGCTTTTTTAAATCTGCCTAACACTTTTGCACAGCGCTGTATATATGAAATATATAGGACATATGTATAACCCAATATCCTGACAGTGTTTAAAAACAAACCTGTCTGTGCCTCTGTTTGCATTTGCAGGTGCGTCTGGACGACCGCGTACTTCAGATGGACCGTGGCTTGCTGCTGCGGCGCGTGGTGCGTAGAGACGGGGGTGTGTACCAGTGCCATGCGATGGAGCACGGATTCACCCAAACTCTCTTGGGCATCACACTTGAGGTTGTGCCATCTACAGGCCCTGCCCCTCCTCACAGCCCTGTCCACAGCCAAGGACAGTCCTCCACCAATCAGAAGCTGTGGTACAGAGACTTCATGCAGCTGGTTGATCACCCCAACCTGAGCACGGTTGACCAGATCTGTGAGCAGGTGTGGTCACGTAAGCACGGCCAGTCATCCAAAGGCATTTCAGAGCCAGCTAACGAGGCACCACCTATTGACCCCCTTCAGTCAACGCACAAAAAGTGGAAGCATCTAAAGGAGGTGAGAAAGGGGCGGAACCGCAGAACACATGATGGAAGACCCGCCCCCCGAGCGCCTCGGAGCGCAGGAGAGTAACAAGGGATAAGGAGAGTGGGAGGAAGAGAGACTGAGAAAGAAAAAAAGAGAGAGATCACTGGAGTCGGACAAATCTGCACACATCTCATTTAGTGACTATTTATCATCTAACACAACTTTTCTATACATTATAACTCCATCGACAACTTTCTATCACTCCTATTGTCCAGTTTACCACACGTCATTGCCCCATTACTGCCCTTGTCCCTTCTTGCTTAACATTTCACTGCCCTATAGACCCTTCTGCCTGTCCCTACCAATGACTGTATACATCAGTGGATGGTTGGCAGTTGAAAAGTGAAGCCAGTATGTCTCTGACGCCCTCTTGTGGCTGTTTGCAGTATCATTTTTAACCCCATCTGCACCCTTGTCCACTAACGGAGCACAAGTTACATATACAGTCAGGTATTTCTTCCGCACAGAAGTTATCTGGTGATATTTAAAAGACATGGTTGACAAGGTAATTGGTTGACATTGGTATCAGCATTGGTAGACATGTATATAAAAAATATGAGGCAATGGCTCACAGTTCCCATTTCGATGCATCCCTACGGCTACTCGCTAGCAAAAATGGAAGTCAATAGCGCCATGCTGTCCACTCCATGTGTATGGTCGTTGGTCCTCTACACTCTATTATCCCCATTGCCCTCCCTGCTGCCTCATAAACTCTATCATGTGGTCATCCACTTTAACCATTCCTACTCAGAAGGACTGCTAGTATACCTAATCAGACATAAATGCACACAAACACGCACAGTGCACATGGACACACACAAACACACACAGAAATACATACACACCCAAATGGTACAAAAACAGCCACACTATGTAAACACTCCCTTTAAGCTGAACACAAACACACATACTAACTAATGCAATAATCATTTGCGTGGGCATCTTTACAAAGACAAAAACCCAGCTGAGAAACTACAGACGAGGATGATGTCATTACAAACAAACTGTCTCATTCTGGCTAAGATTCCAAATGGAGGAATATTCAAACCATGCACAACGAACTGTTACACACACACACATACACACACACACACACACAAACTGTCCTGCATTGTCTTGGTACACCACACACACACACACATACACACACACTCTCTCTTGTATATTTCTCTCATGTGTTTTTATATGTGTGTTAGTGCTTTGTGCTGTTTGTAGAGTTAGACTTTGCTATCCTCCATATTCTCTCAGTGTGACCCTGAACCACTATGTGTTAAACCACTCCATCTGTTCCACCCACTGCTCTCCACCACTAGCTTCCTGTCACCCCCCTGTTAAAGCTGCCCTGAGGTGTTTGGTATCCGCAGGTATCCGACCAGAAACAAAGGGAAATCAAAACTGTATTTGTAAAAAACTGTAAAGTTATATTTTCTAAGTTGTATTAACTCCACACACCCCGTCTCATCTCCAGGCTTTTTATTATATTGTTCTGTTTTAAAACATTAGGTTATGAAAAGATACAAATATGTACTTTTTCACCTGGAAAAACTTATTCAAGGTTCACAAATAGACCCTAAAACCACTGTTGTACCTTTGAGGTACATTTACATTGTTTGTACCTTGATGAATGAAAAATGTACCTGCACAGAACCTTTATTTCTTACAGTGTAGGTGTAGCAGCAGTATTCAAATACAATGTGAGTGCCTTTACCTGGCTCACGTTATTTATGTCTACTATGTAAAACTGCAACACAGATTAGCCAAAATCAAAATTATAAATTGGCCGATTGCTTATTTTGAGCAAAAATCTGTCGATTCCGATTTATGCCGATTTATATTCTGACTGCGCATTCCTGGTTAAACACTTTTGCAATAGTTTTTGCAATGCAAGACTGGTTGGCTTTGACACATAGCTGCTCACTAACAACCTGCTGGACAAAAACTTTAAGGGCAGCTTTTTCTTCCCACTTCACACAAATCACAAATTTCTGAGAGGTACTGACCATGGTGAGATTTCAGATTGAAGCCTTTGGGGATAGAAAATGGAAGCTGTTGCTTATATTTTAGTTTTGTCTTGCCTTTTGATGACATGTGTTGTGCAGAAAGAGGCAGTATCAGACATAGCATCAACACAGAGGGACAGTATGGGACAATGAAAGGATGTGGGTAAAGAATTTGAGTTATAATAGAAAAACAGAGATTTTACCCACAATTAATCTGCTGGTAAGACAAGATGATTGTGTGTGGTCCCATACGTTTGTGTCTAGGTGCGTGTGTGTGTGTGTGTGTGTGGGTGTGAGTGTGTGTATTTAGACCTGTGTGCATGTTTCTGGCTTTGAAATATCACTGCACCAACAGTCATGATAGTATGTGCTTTAATAAGTTCTAAATTAATTCAGTATTAATAATATATCAAGTAGTAGTAATAGCAATAATGAATTACAAAGTAAAATAAAGTCTGATATTACAGTGCTGTTAACATCTACCCACCAGCCTTTTCTGCTGATGGAGGATCACTGTAAGTGATTTCAGTTGCTTTTGGTGATGAATTATATCTCATCCCTCAGACCACACTGGCTTTAGTCAGTAGTGCCTGTTTCATATACAGTTAAGGGCCACGCTTAGGCAGAAATGTAATGTTATCTTATTTGGCAGCAGCCTCTGCGGTTACAAATATTTGATGCCAAATTCTGTTATTTCCCCTCGGAGTTTGAGGTTTTGGCAAGTGTGAGTGGGAACAGGGGACTGAGTCCAAAGCTGAGGGCCTGAAAGTGGAACTAATGGATTCTGGTATGGCCACTAGGGGGCACAGTAGCACTGGCTCGGTGTAGTGAGAGTAGCAGCTGGAAAATCAGTGATCTTACTGCAGGATTGGGCAACTGAGCACTGGAGTCCAGCACCATTTGGAATTTTCCCTGCTGAAACACTGGCCTAAACCTGGCAATAAAACTATGAATTGAATCAAGTGTGTTTAAGCTGGAAATTCACCAAATTGTGCAGAAATCTAGCCCTCCGGAACCAGAGTTCCCCACTCTGGCATGTCCCAAAGTCCACATTAGCAGTTTTTGTACACTTACGTAATGGATTTCTGAATTTAGAACATGTCCAAACATGCACAAAACTGCAAGTGTGGACTGCAAGTGTGGGAGAGGCCATTAGAGCAGAGTGCACTGGCCAAGGATGCCCCTTTGTGGCCACTATGGGTGTTGCCCTCTGACATTGTACAAGGGTCAGCGATAAGAGAATGACTTTGTAAGATAATCAAATCATTTTTTTTGGGTTGCTTTTGGAACCATGCATATAAGAGTGTCTTGGGTTGGAGATGGTGGATTGTCGTGTGCTATTTATAATGCTTTATGATGTAAAGAATGGCTATGCCAGTTTTTTGTTCCTTTGCATGATTAAAGACGTGTAGTTGAGCGTTTTGACAATGGAGAGGAAGCACAGTGTCATATTTGGTTTATCTGGTGTTCTTATGGCATATTTATGACTAAATAAGCTAATATGTAGTGGTGAATTGTGCTGACAAATTGACATTTGTAATATATCCATTGTGCTAGAGGAGAAAACTGGAGAAAAATATATGTTTGTATATTTTGAAGTTATTTGTTCATTCCCTTCCTTTTTAAACCCTATTTAAGGACTTAATCCAAAACATTTCTTGTAGGAAAATTATTTTGCCAGTACTTTGCCTTTTTTTTTACGATGCTTTCTGAAAGATCATCCAAATGACCAAACCCACTGATTTCTTTGCCTTGTGACACTTCTCAACTTCTGAGAGACAGAGTGAGAGAAAATGTGTGATTGTGTGTGCGTATGTGTGTGTGTGTGTGTGTGTGTGTGTGTGTGTGCGTGTGCGTGTATGTGTGTGTGTGGGTGCGTGTATGTGTGTGTATGGCACACGTTAACATGTCAGTAAGTGTGTTTTTGTGTGTCTACAGTTAGATGTTATAACTTCTGTAATCTATTGGGTAAAAGTGTGAGTTCATTTTATGGAGAGGTCAAACGTTGAAGGCCAAAGTTGACGTGGAACACTGTAGTACTTCCTGACTATTTCTATGTGGTTTGTTGCATCAGACTGTATTTGATTAACACAAAGAAATAAACAGTTACTGCAAAACACCTCTGCTGTACTGATTCATGTGTAGTCAAGTGAAGGATGCCTGGATCAGTGGTATGAAACCTGCCATTCTTGGTTTTGTTAACGACTCTCACTTTGCTGGCTTCTGGAGAGGCACAGGTGCAAAACACTTTAATTCCTGCAGCTGTGAGTACTCAGCTAGTTCACCTGGCAACCATACAGCTACACCAGTAGGGGGCAATATCGCTTTGGAAAAAAAAAGTTATGGCCGTTTCCATGGTTGCCAAGGCCGAACCACAGCTGCATCATGTTCCCTCTCTCTCTCTCTCTCTCTGCTGTACTACACCTAACCTAGTCACACAAGCCTAACTCTGCTGTTGTCAGAAATTCTGGTTCATTTTGTTGCTTACCATGTCCAGGAACCACCAACTTTGACAGGAAGTGGCTGTTTGACTCATATAGGATGGCAACCACAGACTGTTGTTTCGGCATGACATATAGGTGTAAATGATTCCCAAAAATGGGACTACAACAAAACCAGGAAACCACCACTTACAGTAAACAATTGTCATAGTTCAAAGACACAATGATATCTTATTTAAGCACGTCTAAATGCTTCCAAGAAAGCTGATGAATAAGATGCGATGCCGTGAGCTTAACAAAAGTGATTATATCTCACTCTGAAAGGCTAAATGTATCTGTTCCAAAAGGCACTAAGCCCTGTGGTCTTCCTCCAATTTCATACTAAGGTGACATCAGAAACGTGCAGATGGAGAGAGCCAATGACTTTGCAAGTGCTAGGTTTAAATATGTGCATTTGTGACTGAATCGTGTGAGGTACAGGTGCTGCATGTGCCATACCCGGCAACATTATGCTATCAGCTGTGCAGAGTTAACTTGCTTATCTACAGCAGCTCAAATCAGATTACAAGTGTAATACAGCTCAATGACAAGTTAATGTAACAAATGTTAGTCAGAGAGCTGTAAACAGACCATTCCTCGCCTA